AACCATCCCCACAGCCTGGTGCTGCCACCACTGTGTTTGACTGTAGGGATGGTATTAATGATGTGACGCTCAGTGCCTGGTTTTGTCCACACACGTTGGGAATTGTGGCCAAATAGTTCCAGTTTTGTTTCATCAGACCAGAGGATTTTGTCTCTCATGAGTCGGGCAGCATGGTGGCACTGTGGTTAGCGCTGTTGCCTCACAGAAAGAAAGTTCCGGGTGTGAGCCCCGGCCAACCCGGGGCCTTTCTGTGTGGAGTTTGCATGTTTGATTTGATTTGATTTATTCTTTCAAGCATATAAAACAGTTGATATAACAACACACATTTTTACACACAATCCAATATCAATGTGCTTATACCTGGTACATGCTTGAATGGAGTAGGAAGAAGTCAGACTTATCCAGTCCTACCCCATGACATCATCTTACCTTCATTGGTTTTCAAGCAATAAATAATTCACTTCTACACACACACACATATTACACTAAAAAAGAATATAACAGTGTTAACATTCTTACATCACACAAGTGATATACTAAAGAATAGTTACAAAATATACACCACACCCACAATAGTCCATGTAATTAATCATTGAGCCTGTTCTTGCATATATTGTATCTTGATTGATACATACCTTTATATTTACGTTTAAACTCATCAATTCTATTACTATTTTTTATGTCCACACTTAAATTATTCCATAGTTTTACCCCACTTATGGAAATACAAAATCTTTTTTTGTTATGAATTACATTAATTTAATTGCATATTATTGAAGCTGCCGGTTCCTCCCACAGTCCAAAGACATGCAGCATAGGTTGATTGGTGTCTCTAAATTGCTCTAAATAGGAGTGATTGTGTGTGTGAGTGGCTGTTTGTCTGTGTGTTAGCCCTGCGATGGACTGGCAACCTGTCCAGGGGGTACCTCGCCCGCAGCTGGCTGGGGGTGCCCCCTGAGTCCCCTGTTTGGGACCAAGTGGTTTAAAAAATGAATGATCTGAGAGTCCTTCAGGTGCCCTTTGGCAAACTCCCAGTAGGCTGATATGTGTCTTTTAGTGAGGAATGGCTTCCCTCTGGCCACTCTACCATGGAGGCCTGAGTGGTGGAGTGCTGTGCTGATTGTTGTCCTTCTTTAAGGTTCTTCCATCTCCAGAAAGGAACTCTGGATCTCATTCATAGTGACCCTTGGTTATCTGTCTGTCCAACGCCCTTCGTACCCGATTATTCAGTTTGGCTGGGCGGCCAGATCTATGAAGACTGTTGGTGGTTCTAAATCTCTTCCATTTGAGAATGATGGAGGCTGCTGTGCTCTTGGGCACTTTCAATGCTGCAGAAATGTTCTTATATCCTTCCCCTGATCTGTGTCTTGACACAGTCCTGTCTTGCAGGTCTGTGAACAGTTCTCTCAACCTCATGGCTTTGTTTTCACTCTGACACACACCATAAACTGAGACCTTATACGTAGATAGGTGTGTGTTTCCAATATATTCCAATCAAGCTGTAGAAGCATCTTAAGAACTATTGATAGGAGTAGGATCCACCAGAGCTCAAGTGCAAGTGTCATAACAAAGGGTCTGAATACCTATGTAAATGGGATATTTCAGTCTTTTGCATTTAGTAAATTTACAGAACACTCAAAAAGCCTGTACTGTCTGTAGATTGATGAGGAAAAAATTTAATGGAATCCCTTTTAACATGAGTCTGAAACATAAAATGTGGAAAACTTAAGGGTCTGGACACTTTCCGTACTGACTGTATCTTAACAAACATGTTTCTAAATCTGTCCATGGCCTTTCTGATGTCAAGGCCACAACATGGTCATGTGATTTACACATTATAGTTATAGGTCTCACTTGTCACATTTTGTTTTAATTAACAGTAATTTCCCCTGAGATAAAAGAGCAACCCACAAAGATTAGGAAACTTTGAATCCACTCTAACAGCCCACACAACAGCCTAACATACCCCTCTGCCTGTCCAACACAGAGGCTAGCCGCAAGCTCATATGAAGTGTACACCAAATACGTTCATACTCGATGTCATAGTTCTTATCTTACCCCGGTCAGTTGATAGAGAACTCCCGCCTGATGACTTTCATCTCCTTCAGCCGTGATTCTGATGCCCAGACTGTGAGCTACAGCTCCATCAGTGTTTTCTAATGAACATTAAACTGCTTGTGCCTGGGCTCCAGTGAAAGCATGAACAACCAGTTGAGGTCAGAGAGAAAAGGATGGTGGTTATTAATTAAACTGTCCATTCCTGTCCATCTCACCACCCACAAACCCCCCTCTCTCTTTATCTTAACAAGAAAATAGACTGCCTCCATGAATCCCTCAGCAGACCAGAAATCCCACCCACATACACAAACATCACATACTGAACAGACATCCACTCATTAGTGTGATGCATATATCTGGTATGAGTCTGAGCGAGCCGAGCAGAAGTGCTGCTATCAATCCAGTAGTTTACTGTTTTTTAATGTTTGTATAAAAACTGTGAAACATGGTGTGTTTTTGTCTTCTTTTCACTGCTCTTTAGTAACATTGTACAAAAGTACAACAAGAAACTGAGGTTATATCAGAAAACCCTGTCAAGCAGACTGTGTGGCAATCGTTGCCATCTGTCCTTGAACTGCTCGAAGCCATTTTATCATGTCACCGCAGTCTATACCAGATTTGTTTATATTGGCACTTTGATACATCAGTGTACCAGACTTGTTGCATGTGTGTACTCTAAGATGAACATGTAGACAGAAAATCAAATCCTTCTCAACTATATATTTCTTAATTTGTCCAAAAGCAATAGTTTAATCATTGATGGGTTGTTGCTCCATTGGAAGAGGCCCTTCTGAGTCAACAGACAGTTCCTCTGAAATAAACAGAACCTTTGCCACTGGATGCCATCTGTTTGTGGACTATCTGGTCTGTGTTACAGAGCATGTCAGGAATGAGCTGTCGGTAGTGGTCAACAGACACAACTCCACTCCACATATTTATAAATTACAAGTACAGTAGTTAAAGCTCTCACAGGTTCACTTAAATAATATTAAATCAAATCTCAGGGCACCGCAAGGACTTCTAGCAGAAAAGTCCATTAGTCTTAATAATCATTGACCTCTTCATAGATCATCGCATCCAGACAAAGCATCACACTGAAGTGGTTAACACATGCAGAGTATGTGTATGTTTCACAACATAAGGTCTCTCTCTGTAATCTTTTCAAGCAGCAGTGTTATATTGTATATAGGCGAGTCTGACACTGGCGAGAAAAGCCTGCCCAGTAATTATCTTCCATGGTGAAAATGAAGCAGGCAGAGAAAGACAGATAAGACAAAGGATGTTTACTACAGTGTGATGGGAAACAGAGCAGTCTTGGCATATTTAAAAATGTCTAATTTGAGCACGCTAATATAAATAGGCAGAGCTGAGGACATTTTAGTCTATCAATAGTTATATGAGATAACAAGAATCTAAATTGTATAGATGGTACACTGTGGCTTTATGGCAGCTTTGTGTTGTGTTGTAGTTTAAGTGGAATAAATCATGATCACTCTGGTAATCTCCTGACTTTTTATCTTGTGCCATTGTTAGATCAAAATTTCATTTATTTGGTTTATGTTCAAAAACCTGCTAAACTAGTAGCATTCCCTCTCAGCTGTACTCTGCGTGTAGTGCTGATTAGCAAATATGAGCATGCTAACATGCTAAAGTGAGACTAACATTGATTTTTAGCAGGTATAATGGTTAACATTATACCCGCTAAAAATCAATGTTAGTAATGTCAATGTTGCTAGCAGTACAATTTAGCGAGTATAACGTCTGAGCCAACAGTATGGTGTTGACTGGTGTCGTATGGTGCAGTTTGTTTTCCAGCACACCAACTGAACAATTTGCAGTTTGATAATAAATTATTTTTGTTTTGAACAGACACAGTAACATGAAATATTGAATCTCATTAATAATCTGCACATTAATCAATAATCCAGAAGCTTGAATCTCTATGAATTTTGTTTTAAACATCATTAATACATAATACAAATGCTGTTTTTCTTAATGCTTTTTTTTTTTTACATCTCTAGTGTTCAAGTAAAGTGCAAATCAAATCAATTCTCTCTCAAACAATAAGATAATATTTTACTGTACAAAACTGACTTTCTTTTCTTTAGCAGTAATGATAAACAGTGAGTGTAAATTTCATAATTTCTTGTATGATTATAATGAAACATTACGGTAGATGATTTTTAGAGATAAACTGGGTCTCCCTGTATCAAACACAGAAAAGCTGCAAAAAGAAAAACACCAGAAGAATAAATAGAGTTAAACTGAATGCGTCATCAAGTAATGTCAGCACTGAACGTGCCATCCATTTTGTCCCATTGTGAGCATGCTATCACTAATGAAGTTGACATAAAGCTGGAAGAAGTGCATTACAAACAGATGGTGAAGTCAGATCTGCTCAGACAAGGAGAGCGAGCGAAGCAGTGACAGAGTGCAATCATTCAGCAACAGCAAATACATACAAGCAACAAAACGATAAGGCTTGTTACAATAACACTGTGGTCTGCAGCCAAACCCATGATCACATTCCAGAAACACATCTCTTTTTATGTTGCATAGCTGACACAAAACATTTCAAAAACTGTTCACAAGGTTCAAAGTAAGCTACATAAAGTTCAGTCAGTGTTTGCTTGCACAGATGGAGCATGATCAGTGCAGACCGGATGGAAAGTCAGCTCTGGTTTTAAAGCTGATATGTGTTTCTAATGTTTCTAATACACAGCAGTAGATGGTCCATGAATATTGGGCTCAGGTTTAGTAAGTATACAAGTGTACAGTAGAGTACATGTAATTCTATTGTTCTGTTTCTGATAATATTGTGTATGTATCTTTCTTACTTTGTTCTAATAAAAAATTCTTTGTTTTAGCATTTCAACTTTTTAATGCTGTTTACATATAATATTTTTCTAATGATGTCATATTACATCACAATTAAACTGGTGTATTGAGCAAAAATGAAAAAGAGCAGTCTTGAGGTACAGTTGATGCTGCTTCTCTTGCCTATTCTTCCATGTTTAAGACATTTCCTCAGGTGTGAACTGACTGGATTTGAGTGTTTTGGACGTCCAGTCTCACTGGTACTGGTCTTGGTAGTCCCCATTTGCATAATGTTCTTCCTCCTCTTGCATAGTCATGCCTCTCTTCTTTTTCCAGCCCTCTTTTCGACCAGATGAATTGTCTGTTGTTCCATAACTCTTTTTGGCAGCCACTGTGTACTCCATGGCAAGCTCCGACTCTTCAGCCAGCTCATCCTCATCAATAATGCCACATTTGTCCTCACTTGTGCTTTCAGGGTTGGCCCAGTCCTGTTGTTCCCCCGAAGCAAAGATACCATAGAAGATGACTCCTGAGTAATGCACCATGGCTGCAATAACAAAGACATGCTGCCACTCCAGACGAGTCTGTGGGGAAATGAATCAATTTCTAAGTGTCTAAGCAAACATCTTGAACTGCTGTCAAGATAAAAAGAAAGCAATATTTGTCAGAATACTTTATGCAGAGGTGTTGCAAATCAGCCTCTTATACCTTATGTTTAGTCAAAGTTCCAACAATGAGGGGACACACCATTCCAGACAACGTTCCCACCCCATTAGAAATGCCCATCAGGATGCTGGCGTAGCGAGGAGCAATATCCAGATGATTGACGTTAAAACCTAATGATACAGTACACAAAACAGCATTTGATTACTCTAAACAGTAACAGAATTATTTTCATTTTGGGTCATTTTAATATTTTGTAAAAGTGAATATGGTTTAGATTCACATTCACACTTTGATTTGTTTTATTGCCTTGACAACAATCTACAAAATGTTTAGGCAGAAATGCCTCTGTGAAGGCATGGCAGGTTAGTTTATGTACTGTACAGCCACAATAACACCAAAAACAAAGCATGGTTGCAACACCCAGTGTTTTTTAATGATTCAGCTTTCTAACTAGATCCTTATGATTCTGGTTTAGTATATAGTCAGTCTATAGGTCTTATATTTCAGGTGACACACAAATGTTTCTTTGGTGCAGATACCTGAAATGGCAAATCCACTGAAGCCTACAGCCAGAACTAGGAAGGAGATAGCGACCCCTCGAGTGTGAGAAAACCCGACCACCAACAGCAAAGTAGCCTCCATACCAAAACCTGTGAAAATAAAAGACCAGAGAATGTGGGATGTTAGCTCGTGGAAGAAACTATCAGATAACCATAAAAGTAAATACCATAGTAAAGGACCATAATGGTACTTTTAGAGTTTACAGTCCAAACAACACGTTTTGCTACTATTACTGCCTAACACAAAAATGGCTTATACCATATGTTTCAGCAGTGACTTATAATTTGGGGGCACTACAAAATAGTGAAACCAGGAAGTGAGCCTCTATTAGTTTCCAGTGTCATGTTAAATTTGTTTAACATGGCAAAATGTGTTATTTTTGGTTGACCATGACATACCTCCACAGTTCATGAGCTTCCTCACATTTGTGGTAGACATGATTTTGTTACTGCGCAAGAAGTCAGCCAGCTGTCCTCCAATAGGAACTATAATTGTCATCACCATGTGAGGGACTGCAGACAAGATCCCCACCTGTTGGGAGTTTACACATTCATGAAACCACAAAGTAAATGAGTCCTGTGATGAACAATATACCTTTATGGATATTTCACAATGCTAGCTTAATTGCTATAATGACACTGTGAGGCCAACCTTGCTAATGGGGAAGCCGAAGACTTCCTCAAAATATGCCGGCTGACTGATGAGGAGCAGGTAAAAAGTCCAGCTGCGGCAGAAATTGGCCACAATGATGGCGTAGACAGGCATGGAGGTAAAGAAACGACGCCATGGAGTTTTGAATTTCTGTGATTGGGAGACAGATATCAGTGAATTTACAACATACACAGTGCGTGTGTATGTAGGTGTCGGAATTATAGAGAAATTATTCTTTTAATGCACATATACACTGAAATAGTTAGCACATTAAACATACACACCTCAGTTACACTCAACTGGTGGACTGTTTCACCAATGGAGGATTGGATGTACATCTTTTCCTCTTCTGTGATTGTGGGATGTTCAGCGGGACTTCCATATGCCAGCAGGAGCCACATGATGTACCATATGAGCCCAAAAACACCTTTTAATTAAATGACAGCAACCAAAAAAAGGGGATCCATTTATTTTTCACATGTATGCTCTTTGTAGTAGACTTTGGAAAGTGTTAGGGAGCAGCTTGAGTGCAGGACAGAAGGACTATTCAAAACAAGTGGTGACCCTCTCTGGACCACCAGATTTTTCATTATTAAAATGAAATGAGTAGGGTATGAGTCACAGAGCCCAGACAGGAAAATGCTAATTAACTTCAATAAATCACGAGATAATATCACAGCAGCACCAGGGGAGATTTTTATTAAAACACATTTGGCCCAATATCAATTTTACGTAAGTGTTAATCGTTTTAATCAAACTCAAAAGCAATTCAGATAAAGCCTGTTGTGTAAAGCATACAAAGTACAACTGCTACAGGCCATTCACGGGTTATGAAAACCACTCTGCACGTAACTAAACTGACATATAGTGCATTTAGGAATTCAACATCTGATGAACATCTTATATGGTTCACTGTACAGCATACCACATCTAATTTAAATTCTGTTTATTTAATACAATTTTATTTGTTTTAGCTGAAATCCAAGGAGGATGAAGCAATTAAGAATAAGAATCTCATCTAAAACTAAGCATCCTCAAAAAGTCACTTCCATGACACCGATGTCCTTTATGGGTAAGGGTAAGGTATTAGGGTTAGGGATGGCTCAAGGGATTTTTGTACAGGTTGCACAATACACTGGCTGTAGCCTTTACTGTAAGTCTTAAAATCGCTACCTTCACTTTATTTAATCTTTCCATTAAAATATTTTGCACTTGAATGACGTTTTTGCTGAGTATTTATGTTTGTGATGTTCATTCAAAAATCAGTCTTACCATAAACATAAAAGACCGAAGACCAGCCGACATACTGAACAAGGATTCCAGCTAAAGGCATGGCGATCACTGCTCCTGCATAGGATCCTGGGAACAATCGGTGTCAGATTTCAGTGTCAAGGTCATATTATACCAGCAGTAACATAAAAAATTGAAATAATTAACAAAACATATTTTTGAAATTTCAGGCACAATTGCCATACAAAAAAATCCATGCATGTTGTCTCTTGTTTACATTTCATAAGCTTGAATACTAAAAAACTTATAGAAATCTTTAACTTACAGTGCACTTAGCACTGGGAGAAAAAAATCCTACACTGTATAGTGAAAATGTGTCTTGATAAAAGCAAACACATCAAAGAAACACATTAGTTTCATTGGATAAACACTTTCAAAATGAGCCATTGGCCCTGCTATGACAGAAAGGGTGTTTTAATGTTTTCTATTATCCAGACAGATTCATTAACAGTGTTGTTCTGAATAGAGCAGGGAGCATGAGAGTGCTGTTGGACAGTAAGCAATGCAACACTTCATTTCTAAAAATAGACGGAGAAGCTCCTTCAGAGCACGCAGGTGAGCCGTGTTCATTTATGGACAATGTCAAGAGTGTTTTGATGTATGAGTTGTCATGGCACCAGATCTACAGTGCAACGTGGTTATTTTAATGCAATGAGAGACAGTAATGGACTGCATCTGCAAAGCAAAATAAACTCTCACGTCCATTTACCGACCAATTCCGTTTTGACTTATAGGGTTGTGCAAATTGGAAAAATAGCTTTGTATCTGTGAAAAGCGTGTTGCACTCAATTTGGGAGTGTTCCTGGAGCATTTTGAGAAACATAAGAATCGCTCACCACAGAATGAAGTGGTGGCCAGTCGACTCCGTTCAAGAGGTGGCGCCCATTTGGACCACATCCCATGACATGCTGGGTAGGTGACACCCTAGCATGGTGTGGAAGATAACAAAAGTCAATGTTTGACTTGAGAGGAAACCTGGCATTCATCCGACATGCTTTAAAGGAATACTTTGACATTTGGGGAAATACATTTATTCACTTTGTTTTGGATTCATCCGACATTAAAGGAATACTTTGACATTTTGGGAAATACATTTATTCACTTTGTTTTGCATGTTAGATGAGAAGATTGATACCTTTCTGGTATCAGTATGATAACTGTGAAGCTACAGCAAGTGACCATTTAGCTTAGCACAAAAACTCCACTTACAACATATTTTTCTTACCTCCACCAAGCCCTGCAGAATGCGAACAAACATGACACACCAGTAGTGGACCCTCGCTGCTGATGGGATGAACATATTGAGGACTGACGTCAAAACAATGGCAGCCCCAAACACCCTGTCAAAAAACCGGAATGTCATCATTTTGTGTAAAACTGCATGTATTCATGGTTGTGAATGAATAAAAATGAAATGAGCATGCAAGCACATTCCTATTTTTCCCAGTTACTAGTACCTCATTGTTTAATTCCATTAAACTCAATTAGAAATTAGGAATTTATTAGGAAATCACAGACTCCTATAAGAACATTTTGGAGCTCTGACTGTTGTATATTGCAGTAATGTAGGCCTGTCTGTAGCAGGTAAAGACAACACATAAGCTAATTTAGATGTCTAATATTAGCAGGTAGTATATCTTCAAAATCTGACGGTGGAAGCGTCTCAGTCAGCCTTATAATAAGACAGATCTCAGGCCTCGCCTTTCATGGACTGAGATAAAGACATCCCTTTCATCCAGAAGTTTTTGCTTCATCACCACAGTGCTGCTTAGCTCCCTTCTCTTTTCTCCTTCACCTCATCTCCCCTTCCTTCTCTTTTCCAAAACAGTGTGTAAGTGACACTTGTAATATTCCAGTGGCTGGTGTTTGAGAAAGAAATCAGAGGCAGGATCTTTCATTATTAACTCTGTCAGTGGCGTGTCCTCTTTTCCTGTGAAGCTTTTATTACAGGACTGCTATCTGCTCTATCAGCACCGCTCACCACACCATACAGCTTTAACCCTTTAGCAGCATGGGGCTGAAGAGGTGCACCCCTCCATCTTTTTTTAGTCTTCTTGTCATCCCTTTGTAACATTCATGGTCAGGGCTGCAGCAACCATGAATTAATCCTCATCAAAAAAAGTCAACAAAAGAGAAAAACTTCAATATTCAATCATCTGTGTCTGCACACTTCACATTTAACATTAAAATGTTTCTGTGCCATTATCAACAGCATCATTTTTTTCTGCACCGTAGTCAGGGTTTCAGCCGACCATTGTTGTCAGCTGCTCACAAGTACCCAGAGTCCAAAGCAACATACAGTAATGGTGGTGATGTAAAAAAAACTAATGAAATCAACTAAAAACTATGAACAATCATGAAGTAAGTAAGTGCATGTTACCTGTTGGCAAACAACTTGTTGGAGATGAAACCACCAGGGATTTGAGTGACAATGTAGCCCCAGAAGAAGGAGCCGTGGATCAGCCCCACTGTCTCTGGGTCCCAGTTAAACTCAGCTTTCTGGGCAGGGAAGGAAACAAAGGGCTTTCAGAAGAAAATGAAAGGATTTGTAGCTATCAAGCTCCTCTGAAACCATGTAAATTTTTAAAAAAGTATCACACTCATTCTATTAAAAATGCTATTTTGATTAAGCAGTCATACATAAAGTTCTCTGTTGCTAAAATGAGCAAACTTTTGCTTTTATATTTCTGTGTAACTGACATTACAAACCCACTTTGCTGATGTTATGACTCTCTAAATGTGTTGTTAAGCTACTGTTTATCATTTACTATTATCTGATAGTTTCCACTTGTGGTCACTATAACTTTTGATTTACTACCAGTGTATCAAATAAATGCATTACTAAAAGAGTGGATTAAAATGGGTCAAGTACAATTCTGGTTTTGTAAGGCCAGACTATCTTGCCAGAATATATCAGACCAAAAAAGAAACACACATTAAATCATTAACCCAGTGATCCTGTTCAAAAGCTCTAGCTACCTGAAGCACTTGAGTCCCATTAATATAGACAGTGCTGTTGTTCACCATCTCCACAATGGCTACACCAAGATTGCAGCGAATGCCAAATGAGATGCAGAAGCCCAGTCCACTGAGGATGGCAATGATGTAACGCTTCGGCAGACCTCCACAGCTGCAGTCCAACAGCGGGGCAGGACGTGGTGCTGAGGCCACTGGACGGCCATCCTCCGTCAGTTCGATGTTGTCCCCTTCTTCTACATTGCTACCATCTATTTTTCTAAGGAGCAAATAGTAGGAAAACAATCAGCTGTTATCAACTTGAAATAAATATTTAATTTTTTATCCATATTTTTCTTCTACTTTCAGCTTCCCTAAATTCCCTGAATTTAATTCAACTGAATTTAGGTGCAAGTAATACAAGAATATATGCAGAATGTGCCTTTATGCAAATCATTCAGGCGATAATGTTCTACTGTATCTTATCAGGGCTGACAACTTCTTCACAGTGTGCCAACAAAACCGCACACTAACACGAGCCTCTTGCAGGGGGCAGGAGGTGAAGTCGAGACATGACTGGAAAGATCACGGCACTGCTGCTGTTATCAAGTTGCTTTCAGGTGCATCACTCTCTACAACTGTTCCACTACCCAGAATCCATCTCTGTCACTGTCCCTCACTCCCATGAACCGGTTTCATCTGTCTGCAGAGCACTGCAGTTCTCCTTCAGTGAACAAAAAACGAAAATAAATTGGCATCATATTTTGTTTTCAATCACTCAAAATGGCACTTTTTCTCCTCAGGAACTACTAGTGTCTTTACAGTGATAATAACATTGATAACAACTGGTTTATCATGTCGTATTAATATATGTATTATAAAGTAATACACTGCTCTAGAAAAGAAAGTAATCTACAGTTTACAAGATTTTTTGTCAGTTAAGAATATACAGAGTTAGAAATATAGTCTATCTGAGAGTAGACATACACACAACCATGTGGTTATATCACTTGCATAAGAGTGACCGTTCTTGGTGCAGTGCCATTTGAGGGATTGGAGAGCAACAATCATCCAGCTTAGACTTGGCCCTTTATGCACTGAAATCCTCCAGATTCCTTGAATCTTTTAATGATGTTCTGCACCGTAGAGGGTGACGTATCCAAATCCCTTCATATCTTTCTTTGAGGAACATTGTTTTTAGTCATGTCATTGATTTGCTTATGCATAGGTTGGCAAACTTCCGGTCATCTTTGCTCCTAAAGGTTTCCTGGATGCCACTTTTATACCAAATCATGATGCAATCACCTGTTTCAAATTGAATCATCATTTCATTGTTTTCCCTCATCACTAGCCCTGAAATGCAACCGTCCCAACTTTTTGGAATGTGTTGCAGCATCAGAATTGAAGTGTTTATTTTGAACAAAAAATAAAGTTGATGACGTACCACATCAAATAATCAATACATCAAATGTATTGTTTTCAATGAAGTACAGGACACAGATGATTTACAAATCAATATTTTCAGTTTCGATATTGATTTTACATACCGTCCCATCTTTTTTGACTGGGAGTTGTAAAAACTAATAGATGGCTGCACACTTGTGAAAATCTTATATGTGACGACCACATTAAAAGTACAAGCGCCGCTGAAACAAAAATGGTTGCACCTCTTTCCATATAAACCTAATTACATAGACAAGGTTATAAAAAAGAGCCTGTGAACACCACAACCTTCTCAGTTCTGGCCTGGATTGTGTCTAAGGCAGTAGAGCTAATTGAAGTTCTCATTATTATTATTATTATACTGAGCAACAGTCAAAACTAACAGATTTTTTCCCATTTTCCAGTTGCTTGTAAAATAAGACATTTCCATTTTTCATTTTAAAAAAGCACACAAACATTAATATACAAACAAAAAGGAAATTACCTACTAGTGTTTTAACTCCTAAAATTACACCAATCGTCCTATAAATATGAAGGCTTCCACCACAACACACACACACACCCCACTTTGAAATATGTATCAGATATTAAGTGTGAATTAATGTCTTAAAATTAAATCTGTGATCACACCGCTGACATTGCCTGACAAGCACAAGAATCACATATGTATTTATTGTCAGGATCTCTGAACACGTTATGCTTGGCATGCTTGCTTCTGGGTTCGCTGATGTTTCAGCCCTCTTAGTTGAGCATTTATGTTTAAAAAATAAGAATAATATCCACTATAACTATGATATATAGATAATTAGAAAAAAAAGGGGGGGGGGGGCTTTTACAGCCAGTGCAACAACATCTAAACAAACACTGGAGTGTGGAGAAAACACTCCGCACAGGCTTCATGTCTCCTTCCCACCACTCACCATGCAAACCTGCTCACCTCTGCAGTTTTCCTAGGGAGTCCCCAACAGCGTTCTTCACTTCCTCTTTCCCAGGCTTAAGCACCTGCTCCTCCAAACCTGCTAATGCACCAAAAGGCATTTTCCCTCAGGTTTTTGTTTTCTCTCCCGCTTTATCTCAAAACACTGTCTTAACACCTCACTAGCAGACTTTGTACTGAGAAAGGATAAAAATGAAATAAATCCTCTATAAGCTGTTTGTCATCCTTCCTAGGTTTGTGGCACCTGTGGCTAGCTCCACCTTTCAGTGATGCCAAGGGTCCCTCTGAGGTAACAAAGATGTTTTTCTCTGTTTTTCACAGAGGATTCAGTGAAAATCTGTAAGATTGAGTTGAATTACTCCTTTGTCCAAAGTACCATTCAGACAGAGTTTCTAGAACTTGTTTAACCTCCAAAAGCTCCATCCAAGACTGGTGAATAAGGAGGAGAGTAAATAAAAGTGTAGAATCCAAGTTTTAGTCTTTATTCATTGTTAGCACCTTGCAGCTGAACTGAATGATCCGCTTACATCTCCCCTCCATCACATAACTCCTCCATTCCTGGTGAGGAGGGGCAGATGAAGATGGTTTCCCCAAACCCAGCCCCTCACTTTACACATCATCATCTCCCCAGCACCACCCCTTAATCTGATAGCAGCCCTCTGAGCCAGTTATTAAAAATGCATGAGCTTGACAAGTCGCATGCACTGATGGGAGACGAGAGTAGCTGGACTGCTGTGGTGTAAAATGTGAACAGGTGAAACTTGAGACAGAGCCATCAGGTTCTGGGTTTACACTCCCATTCTGTGCCAGCTTTTTCCATTTTCTCTATTTAGGTGTTGGAAACTATAAAGCTGTAATCTAGGTAGAAACAACAAATCTCTAACATTTGACACTGGTGGGCATTTCCTTGAGATGCTAATTTTGCCAGTAGGGCTTATCTCATCATTTTCCTTACATGCAGATCATTATGTAGCATTTTTTTTTTAAATTTAGATTTTAAAATTTAACCAGGAGACTGGATGATGTGAGTGCTGAGAATCTGCAATGGGTTGAGTTTTCCCATTTCTAAATAAGTCTTCCCTGCCACCTAGTGTTTAAAATGAGGAAGTAACAAGTGTTCATCACATGGATCTGCAGACATATACAATCAATAAACTGTATAAAGTTTTTACTATAGAGTTTAAACTAACATGAGACATCATAAAGATTTTACTGTTGTAGCTCTTTATAGACTATGTGTTTATCTAACAATGCAGACTAAAAAATAATTTACAGGACAGGGCTACATTGCTTCTGCCTTTCACAGCAGATTGATGACTGTATCACTGAACAGGCACAAACCATGTTGCCCAAGGAGTCAGGGAAAGTCAATCAAATGACTACAAAATAACTGCAAAAAGGCCCAAAACAAGAAACAATTGATGCAAAAGAACTACAAAGTGACATAAAATTTGTAAAAAGAGACAGAAAAGACCCCAAAGAAAGCAAAAAAATGAAAAATGCTAAACTACAGAAAGTACAAAGAGATGCAAAACAATAAAAAAACAGTTACAAAACAGGTACAAATGTGTGCAAAATAAATACAATAAGATGAAAAATTAATAAAACTATTAATACAAAATTACTAAAAACAGACCACAGGAAGACTAACTACAAACAGACTAACTACAAACAATGTGGTTGCTCAATCTATCAGTCTTGATAATAGACGTGTAGGAGAGGTAGGGGCCTACATGTCTGTTCCCAGGGGCCCACTGTCCCATAATCTGTCCATGAGCAGAGTAAACACAGACAATAACTGGGAGGAGAAAGAGGAGGTTAGGTCGTACAAGCATGCCTGCCTGGAACTGAACCAAAGATTTTGTGGTGTTTCTTCTAATATACAGTGGGTACGGAAAGTATTCAGACCCCCTTAAATTTTTCACTCTGTTATATTGCAGCCATATGCTAAAATCATTTAAGTTCATTTTTTTCCTCATTAATGTACACACAGCACCCCATATTGACAGAAAAACACAGAATTTTTGACGTTTTTGCAGATTTATTAAAAAAGAAAAAGTGAAATATCACATGGTCATAAGTATTCAGACCCTTTGCTGTGACACTCATATATTTAACTTAGGTGCTGTCCATTTCTTCTGATCATCCCTGAGATGGTTCTACACCTTCATTTGAGTCCAGCTGTGTTTGATTATACTGATTGGACGTGATTAGGAAAGCCACACACCTGTCTATATAAGACCCTACAGCTCACAGTGCATGTCAGAGCAAATGAGAATCATGAGGTCAAAGGAACTGCCTGAAGAGCTCACAGACAGAATTGTGGCAAGGCACAGATATGGCCAAGGTTACAAAAAAATTTCTGCTGCACTTAAGATTCCTAAGAGCACAGTGGCCTCCATAATCCTTAAATGGAAGACCGCAACCACTCCTGACTGCACTTAATTGCATACACCACATCACTCTGTTTGTGTCTGGGTGTTTTGTCCTTCGGGTGGACCAGTCTCTACCACAGGGTGTTCCCTGGTTTACAGTTAACTGGGATATTGTGGTTGTGAAAGATCCTTTTTAATTTCTCTGATAAACCAGCCACATAAGGGATGACAGT